CATAACTATTTGGATTTCTTTCATCCGGTGTAAAGTGTAATACTAAGAATGTGGGTCAAATCATATACATGCTTAACTTGTCAAACAAAAAAAAGAAAATCATATCAATGTTAAGGACTGATGACAAAAAATCCAAACACAATTGGGTGAGAGAAAAGAAAGAAAAAGGGAGAGATTAGCTGGTGGCCTGATACCACGCATAAGCAACCATGTACAAATGGGTGGATGTCAGTTTCATGAGCTTGGCCCTTCATGGGTCTCTTACAACACAGAAAGGACAAAATGTAACACCCAATAACCTCTATATTTGCACCAACTCCAACTTCACCTGTTTTAAGTCATTTGACATTTCCATGATGGACAAAGGCCCATGAAATTTTAGCACTATTGATTGTATATTTAGAGGTCGATTTGTTAATAATATTATTTGTTTATCAATTTTTTAAGGAAAAATTTGTAATTAGTAACTAGTATTTTGGGTTTAGTGCTATTTTGATTTTCGAACTTTAAAATGCAACAATTCAGTATCCAACTTTTTAAAACATGACAATTCAATACCTGTCGTTAACTAGCTGTTAACTATTAAGTGGCATTTAAAAAAGACACAAATGCCCTTCAAGTGTTACTTAATTTTTTATCAACCATCTAAATGTTGACAAAAAATTAATAGTCCTAAATCTTTGCTTTTTCCATTCAAGAAAGTTGGGGTCACATTTGAGTGGGCATTCTGGTGACCTCAACTTTCTTGAATAGAAGAGGCAAGGATCTGAAATTGTAAATTTTTTGTCAATGTTTAGATGGTTGATAAAGAAAATCAGATGACACTCAAAAGGCATTTATGTCTTTTTTAAATGCTAATTAACAGCTGATTAACAGTTAGTTAACAGCAGGTACTGGATTGTAATGTTTTGAAAGTTCTGGTACTGAATTGTCTCATTTTTAAAATTTGAAGACCAAAGTGGCACTAGGCCCAAAATACAGGATACTAATTCGAGATTTTCCCTTTTTTTAACTCCAAACTTTATTCTGCAGCAGTCACCTTAATATTTTATTAATTATCCAGCATCGAAAAGAAGACTATGAGAAGACAACCATCTTGCCCCAAAAACCAAATCAAGAACGTCTCTAATACACATCTCAGTCTGCATTAAGAACAACTCGCGTATTTGTTATCGAAAGATATTTTCAATGCACAGTTAAGATCACTGTAGGGCAGGCTATATGGGGAGTGAATGTGAATTCGATTGCTTGGTACTGCCTTTGTTGGTTGATTATAGAAGTAAATTATAAGGACCCGTTTGTATTTTGGAGGGTGTGACATTTGGCTCTTGTTTATTTATTTATTTTGTCATTTCGACCCCTATATTTTTCATATGTTAATCAAATGCCTTGATCGTGTTAACGGTGAATGAGAATTTTTTTTTTTTTTTTTGAAAGGAATGGTGAATGAGACCTAGTGACATGACATCTATTGTTGACATCTAAATATAAGGTTTTGTATTCTGCATATTTGTATTTGTACTGCTTTCAAATTGAGCCTAAGGCTGTGTTGGATTGTAATGCAAATTTATTTGCATTAGTACAAATGCATAGAAGTGCAAATATAAAAAAACTGCAATTTTTTGTTTAATTTTGTTTTGGATTTTAATTTATTTTTCTTTGTCTTAACTTACTTCATTTGTATTGCAATCGAACAAAATAAGATAAACTTTTTTTTAAAAAAAAGGTCAAAATTCACACTCAAATCATTTGCACTGCTATGGTTTTGCATCAGTGCAAATTTATTTGCATTGCAACCAAAGACAGCCTAATGGACAAGATTAATCCATTTCTCTATGAGACGGCTTTGATGCATGGCATTAGTTTTTGAATTGATTTTCTATACTTTTTATATGGTTGAAACCTTAATTAGTATCATTTGGATGGTTGAGAATAGTACGTCGATTTTAGGAGGCCATTTTAACGGCTTAGATTCAGTCTTGGCCATCCAAGCAATCTATACAAGTTAAATACCATATCAACAAATTTACGTTATTAAAGTTGCCTATTACAATCGATGGATCAAATAAAATATTAGTACATTATTTAGATGGTTGGAGTGAGTTGATTGATATTATGATGCCATTTTATATGTCATTTTATTTCTTTGAGATTCTTTTAAGTTATGTTTGGTTCGAAGGAAACAGTAAGGAAAGGAAGGGAAAGACAGGGAAACCTATACAAGGCTTGTAAAAGTTTCCTTATCTTTCCCTTCCTTTCCCTACCTTTTCCTTCAAACCAAACACAGCCTTAAGAAAAATATGTCAGATTTTGGATCAGATTTGGATTTAATCCACAATCATCTTATTGTATTTAAAATAATAATTTTTTATATACATAAAATAATAATTGTTTATTGGAATTGAATTTTAGTTAGATCAAATGGGGTTAAATCCAAGCTAACCCCTAAGCTCAACCTAGAAGCTATATACATACATACATACATATATATATATATATATATATTACAAATATTATATTAATATATAGATGGGATTTTTATATATTTTTATAATAAACTAAACTTAAAAATAATTTAAAAACCATAGTTTTATAATTAATATGAACAAAAATATCCTTGTCCCATGCCTAGAAAAATATTATTATGCTTGGGTGTGGGCCAGACTGGGTTTGGCAACTTATAAAATTGTTAATACATTATCCAAATCTTGTCCGAGATCTTTTATATTTTTTGTTCATTAGGCTACACAGTGGGGGTAGCCCATCCCCATAGCTCTTTCAGGTTCAATATTAATAATTTTTATCTAAAAACAGTTAAAAAACCAAAACAATGCATGCATGGGTTATGCTTAGTTTGTTTCAATCTAATTATGAATGTCACGCTTTCTTAGGAGTACTACTTAGGGGGTTGGGTCAGGTTGAGAATCAACCAAATCCCAACCCGAAGTCTTAAACCTCGAACTTGGGCTTAGATTAATTTAATTATGACTAAAAAATTTAATCTATATATTAATTTAACTATGACTACAACCTAACTTTATATATTTACTAATATTTAAGTAACATTTATAAAAAAAAAATTATAATATAATTAATCCAAATTACTAAATTACTAAATTATTTTTGTAAAAAATTACTAAAATAAAGATTAATTATTTTCAACAACATTGCAATCTTTCCTAATAATAGTTATCAATTTCCATGATTAAGATTGATTCAATGATGTCAAGAGATCACTTCAATGGCCTAGATATTTAGATGCATTGAATACACCATTTGGATGGGTTAGATTGGATGGAATCTTGATATGCCATTTGGACGATTTAATTGAAATAGTTGAATGATCTTTTGAAGGGACCAGGAGGGCTAGGGGTATATCAAAAGATATATGGGTCTTGAAATAGTAGAAAATGATCTTAAGTACTTATAATTTAACAAAAGATATGACATTAAATAAAACAGAATGGCAAATTATGATTGATGGACCCGACCACATATTGTTGGAATAAGGATTATGTTCTTCTTAAGATGCCATGTTGATGGCTTAGAGTTCAGATATTGTTTGGTACATCATTCCTGCTTTTTTTTTTTTTTTGGTTTAGTGTTTCTAGAACATTAAAATTTGGTGCTTGATGGAATGATAGATTAGTTGAAATCTTTGAAAATAGATGGCCAAGATTGATTCTTTGAAAATAGAAGCCATTTTGATAGTTGTAGATTTTTTGTCCTCATTTGGTACACTTTTTGGATGGCTTGGATTTATTGAATCTATACACATCCTAACATTTGGATGGTTTAGATTAATGCATTAATCTAGAGACCCTTTGATGGTCTAGATGTTTGGATTAATTATTTATTATATCACTTTCATGACCCTTTCAAGCATGAGTTTCATGGACCAAATCTTTAGAATCAAAATTGAAAATATCTCATCTAGTTAAAAAGTGAAATTGTCTTTTCAAGTGAGATAAGACATTTTTAGGATTTAAAAAATATTTGACAACTAACATGACAAATATGAAAGTGGTGGCCAAAGGGATTATTTGGCAATTATACCTTAAAGTAAGTGATATTATATATTGACCCGTTGAAGATATGGAGATTAGAGGTTCTAAGGAATTGGGTCCCAGATAGGATTACCGAAGAAGTTAAGGCAACTCCAATCTGGAGGACCCCTCAAGAAGATAAAACAAGATGGAAGATGGACCCTAAAGGAAGTTGCTTAGTCAATTCCACCTATAGAGTTCTATGTCATGGCCAAGAGCCAAATAATGAAAAAGAAATAAGGGTAAAATGCAATAACCTCCCCTCAAATTTCTGATAATCATTTAAACCCTCTTATCATTGTAATAAATACCTCCCCTCAACTTTTGAGAAATTCAACAAAAAAAACCTCCCTTCTATCACTGATTTAGATGGAAAACATCAACATTTACGAAATTACCCCTGAGGCGTCACTTAAAGATTTCATAACATCTCACTCACATTTACTATTCTTTTTATCAGAGCAAAAGAACGTAAACCCTAACACTGACAGGGTGCTATTGCTCAGAATATTCGGCTTCTCGGAATATTCCATCTGTTTTCCAACAACTGTTCTTCACCAGTGACTATTCTTGACTGGTGAATTAAAATAAAAATACAGCTTTGACTATTCTTCACCGGCAAGTATTCCATCCATTTTTTAAAGCTTCCACTGTTCTTCATCAGAATATTTCATTTCTTCCCTAGAGTCAAGGATTCAATTTATTGGAATTCGTCATGGACTAGGAAATTTGTATGCATTAGGAACTCCTCTCATGCATGCATGTATCTTATCCTCAGTGAGTCTTCTACTCCTAAATTTCAGGCGTAGATTGTATGTATATATATATGGTTGTGCCTTGCATAATGGGGAAAAAATGAGATACAAAGATTTTCACATGGTATCAGAGCAGCTTCCTAGATGCCTTTCCTCCCGTGGACTTGCGAGCAGAGCCATCTCTCTGTCTTTGGAAACATCAGCTGCAGGCCCTGTCACAACGGATCCTAGGAGTCAACTGGATGTCCTTGGGCATGATCGTGACTCGCTTGGCATGGATGACACAGAGCTTAGTGTCTTCAAACAGTCCCACTAGATATGCCTCGGCCACCTCCTGCAAAGCCAACACAGCATGGCCTTGGAAACAGAGATTCATCTTGAAGTCCTGAGTGATTTCATGAACAAGCCTCTGGAATGGAAGTTTCCTAATGAGGAGCTCCGTAGTCTTCTGGTACTTACAAATTTCACGGAGGGCAATAGTTCCTGGATGGTATCTGTGAGGTTTCTTCACACCTCCAGTGGTTGGTGCAGATTTACGAGTTGCCTTGGTAGCGAGCAGCAGGATCTGCCTCCACCGCTGGCTCCAACTCTTAACGAGGACAACAGTAGGGAAGATCTTCAAGCCAGGGGCTTCGACGGTGTAGAACCCCAACATATTGCTTCCGCTCCCGCCACCGTCGACCGCTGTAGCACACTGCACAGAGGTGCGGCTCAGTCTGCACTCTGCAATCCTTAAGTTCAGTCTTTGTCTTCAAGATTTCTTACCTTCTCAGTCTGCATCTGCAATCTTCGTTCGATCGACAGTAGGGGCGATCTTCAAGCCAGGGGCTTCGACGGTGTAGAACCCCAACATATTGCTTCCGCTCCCGCCACCGCCGACCGCCATAGCACACTGCACAGAGGTGTGGCTCAGTCTGCACTCTACAATCCTTCAGTTCAATCTTCGTCTTCAAGATTTCTTACCTTCTCAGTCTGCGTTTGCAATCTTCGTTCGATCGATAGTAGGGGTGATCTTCAAGCCAGGGGCTTCAATAGTGTAAAACCCCAACATATTCCTTCCACTCCCGCCAAACCCGAACTGATCCTTTTTGGCTTCCGGTGTAGATCCACGCAGCGCTATGCCGACGACACCCGGCCGACCAGACATTGAAGACGAAGCCTGAGACTGTGACGCACCTCTGGCCATTACTATCTGTTGTTGCAGACAGGCTGATAGAGACGTGTTTTCTAAAGTTGATCAGTTGAGCAGTTGCTGACGAGTCTTGCTGATCAATCACCACGGCTGTCAACAATGACAGGAACGGTGAAAGCTCAAGTAAGTCGGTATGGTGGGGAGAAAGACCCCGCGTTACGACGACCAGGGATGGAGCAGGTCGAGGAAAACGGGGTGGACCCTCTGGCGGACGTGACCGAGGTTCAGCAAAAATTTATATTGTTCAATCATCAGCAGGGCGTGAGGTGGGTGCTAATGCAGTTGTGACTGACAGAGATAGGACCGGATTAAATGGGCTTAATAATGAGTAGTGGCAGTCTCTCGTAAGCATGCTTGATACTTACAAAACCAGGACTAATGAAAAACTCTCTGGTAAGAAAAATTCTACTGATTGGATAATTGATTCCAGGGCATCACACCATATGACTGGAGAAATTAACTTATTGATGGATGCATGGAATATTACACCGTGTCCGGTGTGACTTCCCAATGGGAAGCAAACCACTGCAGTGAAAGAAGGGACTTTACATTTGGGCGGAAATATTTATTTGCATCATGTGCTTTTTGTACCAAGAATGAACAACACCCTTATTTCCGTAGCAAAATTATTGCAAGAGATAAAATGTACTGTCACTTTTACTGACAAGATATGTGTGATACAGGACCAAACCTCGAGGATTTTGATCGGCGTGGGTGAATAGTGTGATGGGGTCTATCATTTTAGAGGAGTAGCACCGGTTCGGGCGAATAGAATAAGAGGTATGGATGAATGGGAGTTATGGCATCGTAGATTAGGGCATCCGTCTAAACAGATATTATCTTTTCTCCCTAAAGTAGATAAATTAAATAGTAGAACTGAAGGAGATAGGCCATGTGATGTTTGTTATAGAGCAAAACAAACACGGAAATTTTTTCCTGAAAGTAAACATAAAGCTGATGATTGTTTTTCTCTAATTCATTGTATTACATGGGGCGCCTATAAAGTACTTGCCTATTGTGGTGCACTTTACTTTCTAACCATTGTTGATGATTATTCTCGTGCTGTGTGGGTTTACTTGTTACTGGAAAAAAGTGAAGTAGCACATATTATTGAGAAATTTTGTACAATGGCAAAACGTCAGTTTGGCAAGCAAGTCAGGACTGTTCGAAGTGATAATGGAACATAATTTAAAAGCTTGAAATCATACTTTGAGACTCATGGCATTCTGCATCAAACTTCATGTGTTGGGACACTGCAACAAAACGGTCGGGTGGAGAGAAAACACAGGCATATCTTGAATGTTGCGAGAGCATTGAGATTTCAAGCAGGCTTGCCCATTGGTTTTTGGGGGGAGTGTGCCTTAACTGCCGGATACATGATAAATAGGACACCTTCTTCTGTACTTGGCGGGAAGACTCCGTATGAGGTATTGTTCGGGACGCCACCTCAATACGAGCACATGAGAGTATTTGGCTGTCTCTGCTATGCTCATTAGAGTCCTCAAGACAAGGATAAGTTTGGAGAAAGGAGTAGGAAGTGTGTTTTTGTGGGTTATCCCTACGGAAAGAAAGGTTGACGTGTATATGACGTTGAAAGAGGTGAATATTTTGTCTCCCATGATGTAGTCTTCCATGAGAATATATTTCCATATGTCACTGGTTCAGAAGCCACTCTGGGAGACAAAACCGGCCCAGCCATTGCACCAGTTGATGCCGGAGTTGATGATGATGTTGTACACAGCCACATAGAGAATAAAGACAGGGGAGTGATGCAGCCGACATCTGTGATAGGGGGAGCCTTAAGAATAATGATGATGGAAGAGAGGAGGAGCATGGAGAAGAAGAGAGTGTGCAGGAAGTGGGAATTGATGGCAGTGATGACAGAATTAATGTGGATCTAGCACCACAAACGGCACCAAAAGAGCAACTTGGTAGGGGACATCGGCATCGCACGCCGTCTATTTTGTTGATGCCCTACGTGACCTATAGTGCTCAACGCTTGAAAGGCCCCATTCACACTCAAGCCAACTCTGAATCAGAGTCCTCAAGTACGACTCCCTATCCCATAGTGAATTATGTGACATGTACTAATTTCTCTGCTAGACATTAAGCTTTCTTAGCTGTAGTCACTGTAGGAGCCAAGCCCACCAACTTTTCTAAGGCAATGAAAAGTGAGAAATTGAGGGAAGCTATGAGGAAGGAAATCTAGGCTCTGGAGGATAATGGTACTTGGACATTGAAAACTCTACCTCCTGGGAAAAAGGCAATAGGGAGTAAATGGGTTTATAAGATCAAATATAATTCAGACGGAACGGTTGAACGACATAAGGCTCGGCTAGTTATTCTCGGGAATAGACAGGTTGAGGGGTTAGATTATAATGAAACTTTCGCTCCTGTGGCCAAAATGACGACAGTTCGCACTTTCCTAGTCGTGGTAGCCGCTAAGAACTGGGAGTTGCATCAGATGGATGTACATAATGCATTCTTACATGGGGATTTGGATGAGGAGGTATACATGCAGTTGCCACCAGGTTTCGCATCTAAGGATCGAACAAAAGTGTGCAAACTGAAGAAATCTCATTATGGATTACGTCAGGCTCCCAGATGCTGGTTTTCGAAATTAACAGCGACCTTGATACAGTTCGGGTTTGTTCAATCGTATCCGGATTTTTCTTTGTTCACTTATTTCAAACACAATGTTCATCTGCACGTGCTGATATATGTTAATGATTTGATTATTGGGGGAAATGATACTGTAGCCATATGAAATTCAAAGAGTATCTCGGTCAATGCTTCCATATGAAAGATCTGGGACCACTCAAATATTTCCTAGGTATTGAAATAGCTCGTGGTTCTAAGGGAATATATTTATCTCAACAGAAGTATGCCCTGGACATTATCTCGGAATGTGGACAGAATCATCATCTTGCGCTGGCCAAGGGCGCTCTAATGGACAATCTGAATCAGTACCGAAGACTAGTAGGGCGATTGATATACTTAACCATCACACGACTTGAGTTGTGCTATTGTGTTCATATTCTAGCCCAGTTCATGCAAAACCCGCGGCAAGAACATTGGGAGGCAGCTCTGCGTGTAGTGTGATATATGAAAAGGTATCCTGGACAAGGTATAGTATTGCGTTCCGATAGCGATCTGCGTTTGTATGCTTATTGTGACTCTGATTGGGCAAGCTGCCCGTTGTCACGATGATCGTTGACCGGCTATTACGTTCTGCTGGGGCAGTCACTAGTTTCCTGGAAAACGAAAAAACAGCACACTATGTTGCACTCCTCGGCAAAAGCAAAATATCGTTCGATGGCTGCAACATGCTATGAATTGAAGTGGATAAAGAAACTTCTATTGTCCTTGGGAGTGGTGCATGACGAACCTGTGCACTTATATTGTGATAACCAGGCAGCCCTGCATATAGCCGCAAATCCAGTGTTTCACGAGAAGACAAAGCATATTGAAGTCGACTGTCATTTTGTTCGCAATGAGCTATGGTATGGGAACTTTGTTACTCGGCATATTCGAACCACAGAGCAATTGGCTGACATCTTGACGAAGGCTCTTGGGAAAGAGAAATTCACCTATTTCCTTGGCAAATTGGGCATTCGGAATCTTCATGCGCCAATTTGAGGGGGAGTATTGGAATTCGTCATGGACTAGGAAATTTGCATGCATTAGGAACTCCTCTCATGCATGCATGTATCTTATCCTCAGTGAGTCTCCTACTCCTAAATTTCAGGCGTAGATTGCATGTATATATATATATATGGTTGTGCCTTGCATAATGGGGAAAAAACGAGATACAAATATTTTCACACAATTCAAGTGAATCTGGAAGTCTAAACCTCTTCAAGATATTTAGCTATATGCATAAAGTGCGTATATGTTTTTAGAATCTTTTCTATTAGCTTCAATGATTATTTTGTAGATATCAGAACTTTATAACCTTTAGCTACGGACAAAACTGTGGCTATACATCAGAAAAACCGTAGCTATAGACCTATAGCTACGATTTAGCTATGGGCTGAAAACCATAGTCTATGTTCACGTGGCTATAGCCTATAGCTACGGTTCAACTAATTCATAGCTATAACTCATCTATAGCTACGGTATCTGTCCGTAGCTAAAGGATGGATGGAAACCATATGAACCTTTAGCCATGGGCTAAACCGTAAACATATCTAAATCTATAGCCACGGTTTTCTATAAAACAATAGTTAAAGTCTTCCATTTATAGCTACGGTTTGTTATAAGACCATAGCTAAATGTATCAACCTATAACCACGGGTTTTCAATTACTAAAACAGAAGTTAAATATTTTAACTTAAAAAAACCGTAGCTAAAAGATGTAATCTATAGCCACAATTTCTTGAAAAATCGTAGCTAGATATGCCAAGCTATAACTACGATTTTCTATAAAACCGAAGCTATATATATCAACCTATAGCTACAGTTTTTGAGAAACAGTGGCTAAAAGCTGAAATCTATAGCCATGATTTCTTGCAAAACCATAGCTAATTGTTTGAATCTAGAGAAAAAATGTGGCTATATTCCAAATAAAATAGTAAAATAACAACAATTGGAACAGCCACTTTGAAGCAACACCTGTTTTATTCATACATCACATAAAAATTATATAATAATTTTTAGCAAATTGTTATATTATTGCAATAAGAAATTACTTGCCATGTATAATTTGAATACATCCATTGTTTAAAATGTATTACAAATGTAAAATTTCCCTTAAAAGGTTCTAAATACAAAAGAATTATCCCTTGTCTTTGGCCATTCTTCAAGAGTCGCTCGTCGCATCTTTTACCTACAAAGAAAAACAAAAAGATATTAAAACAAAGGTTAATTTGATGATCTAATTAAATATGCAATATACGATGAAAAAATTTTCTTGTAGTAAAACATTTGGTAATAATTTTTCTATATTGAAAATAATATTTGGATTGTTGCCAAAGGTCAATTTTCTTGAAGTAACTTGGACTTCCATCCTTCAATTCTTTTCTAACAATTTTTCTTGGAACCCCCATAACTTGTTTGATTATACTAGTAGTAGATGCACTAACTTTAGGATGAACAAGGAAGCAAGATTTCTCTTTATTTACCAATTGACCTGAAGCTTGTTCATATGCGGATAGAAAAGCCATTAAATTTTGCAAACATCTTTTATCACATCTTGCAAAAATCATCGTATCATCAACAAACAACTTGTGAGAAATAGGTTTGCACCCTCTAGGTTAATTGAAATAAGGAACATGGCCATTTGAGAAAATGATGCTTAGCCATCTATTAAGAACTTCCTATACAATAATAAAAATACTTGGAGACATAGGATCCCCTTTCCTTAGTCCCCTACTTGATTTAAAATATCCCACAGGAGAGACATTAATCATCATAGAGAACCAACAATCAAATACGTAACTATAAGAGATCAATCCAGATAGAACTAAAACCAAATTTCTGAAACACTACAAAAACAAAGTTCCAATCCAACCTGTTGTAGGCTTTGGCCATGTCCAATTTAAACATTACATTCGCACAGCTTCCTTTCTTGCCAATTTCATTTGCTAATTCTTGAGAAAATCCAATGTTGTCATTTATGCTTCCTTTATTGAAAACACCACTAAATACTCTTTCATTCCATTCGTGCAGATGCTTCCTGAGATTCTTCAACTTCTCAACAAGAATGAAGTGATTCTTAAGATATGGAACAGCCACATTCTTTGAAATCTAAAAGGCTTTTGTCCTGAGGTAAGCTCATCAGTAATAGTAACCAGAAGTGGGGCATGGTCTAAGAATGATTGATTTAGGTGAAAAACTCTGTAGACTCAAACATCCATGACCAAGCTAAATTGACCAAACAACAGTCTAACTTTAGGCTATGTTTGGTTTGAAGGAAAAAGTAGGGAAAGGAAGGGAAAGGTAAGGAAATCTTTACAAATCTTGTATAGGTTTTTTTACCTTTCCCTACTTTTTCCTACAAACCAAACATAGCCTTAGGGCCTTCAATGAAAGGCTCCGTAGTAGCAATTATGGAAACTTTGTGAATTTTAATAAACTTTTTTAATTAGCCCATTGATTTTTTATTTCTAATACCTCTAATATTCCAAAATAAAGAGACCAAATCAGCCCTCCACAATGTCCCACAGCACATCCCCACTGTGTATTGGGAACATCTCCCAATGATGATATCATCATTTCTAGTATTATCATGGGAGATGTTCCCAAGACACGGAGGGGGGGTGTTGTGGGACGTTGTGGGGGGCAATCTTGTGGGGGCTGATTGGGAACCATTGATCTTACCTTTAGCGGGTCTCCTTGTTCGTTTTTGTCGAACCACAACCTGTGGTTCAAAGTCGTCTGATCAGCCAACTGACGTGCCAGAGACTCCTCCGCGATTGAGATATTGTCGACGTCCAACTACTTTTCTCTCTGCACCTCCAATGGACTAGGCACATTGGTTTCACAGCTAATGATTTGAACTCCATTGTTCTCTTCGTCACTTTGGCTTTTTTGCCATACAAGTTATGGCTCCATTAATTTTTTTATTCAAGCTCGCTTGGAAGGTTCTCAATTGATTAATGCTCACTGCCTTTGAGTTAACTGCCATTACTTTTCCATCTGCTGATTTAGGCCTGAGACTGTTAATCCATGATGCCCCAATAGCCTTTGCACTGGCTCCTCTTGTTGTAACTGCACTTAGAGGAGTTCCAAATACTTGGTGCAAAGCTTCTTTTACTGCACTACCTTTGGGTTGTTCATTATTTATCAAAATCCTATCACCTGAACTCTTCTTTGGTGAAATTTCTTTGACTCCAAATTTGCTAAAATCTCCCATGGGATGCCACTCAGATCTTATTACTTATTTGTTCTTCTTCTCTAAAATTTGTTTCTTTTTCTCAAAAAAATTCTTCCTTCTTTTCATCACTAGACTTCACCACCTCTACCTTGTCATTCATGAGGTTGTTTAGTTCTTTGTTCTTCTTCTTGCAGTCTTTGGAGATGTGACCAATCTCATAACAATCATCACAGTACAAGGGTATGTTCTCAAATAATTTTTTGAAAGAAACCTTCCTTACCGATCCTAATCCAGACCTTCTCAACCAATGGCTTAGAACTATCAATTTCTACATAGACTCTAGCAATTTTTGCCATGGTACACTGCAATGTTGAAATATGAACTTTCTGGACCCGTCCCATGTTCCCGGAAATTGATCTAATGAAATTCTCGTCTGGGTTGAATAAAGGAGACCATTTAAAGAATCTGAGAAAGCCTTTTAGTTAGACCACTTCTTTAAGCCACACTTTCACAAAGTCTTCCTCGCATTGGAAATGTAAGAGCAAGTCTGTGAAATCAATAACTGAGATAACCACCGGCACCACCTCTTTGAGGGAATGAGGGAAAATTTGAAAGGCTCACACATCTTGGTAGTTTCTTCATGAGTATTGGGTGAAGGACGGAGGCTTACCCTAATTCGAACTTGCTCCAAGGCACACGATTCTACTACGACAGCAACAAAAGATTTATTTCTCTGACGTGGGAGGAGACGCCATTAGAACCATGCCATTCGAGTTGCGAGATGTGAAAGATTTCTTCAATTTGTTGCAAACAAACCCACCCACATTGCTATCGATAAGCATTATATACTTGTATTACCTGACCCTAAGAATTGGTCCTAAGGCTGGAGCCTAGTTGACCTTAAGATCAACTTCGATTTCTCCAATTCAGGCGTGGGATTGGGCTACTTTAGGGTCAGGCCTGGGTCCATCCAAAAGTAAGAAAACCCAAAGTATTGGGCATAAGCCACAAGCCCAACTCAAGAACCAAAAATCTAAGCCCATTTTATGTAAAATTGTGGGCTGGATCAGTTTGGGCTTAGATTGACTCCAACTAAGTTGCACCCTAGTTTATTTGGAGTCAATGAATTCTTATTTCTTTTAGGGTAAAAGACTTGAACATACTATAAGTCTTCATAAATTGACTTAAACATACCATAAGTCTTCATAAATTGGCTATAAAAAAAACATTAATATACCTATTTACAAAACTCAGGGTGTATTTAAGTCTGCTGTTACCCTTTCTTTTATCTATTAGCTCATTAGCAAGAAATTAGCACCATGTAAGGAGAGGTTTAGGTTTTAAATCTTGGATTCTATTCTATGAAGCCAAAACATTTCACTCACATTGAAAGCAAAACTAATCTTTTTTTTTTCAATAACTAGAATAAGTCATTAGGCTGCATTTGTAAATCTCTGTTCAGGGTAAATTTGCATTCTGGTTCATTTTTCCTGCAACATTACATTTGTGCATTGACAAATGTCAGACCAACTCATTTTTACATTGATAATAAGATGTAAAAGTACATCAATAAAAAAGAAATAAATTTGCACTCAAGTGGGCTTTTGATAAAAAAAAAAACATATTTTATTGGAATCCGTATTTGCATCCATTACAACTAAAAGTCTCATTGATAAGAAGGTAAATTTGTCAGTGCAAAACTAGCCCAACTTCGAAATTTTTATGGACCATTTTACACTTTACCTATTTGCATTCCCACTTATTTGCATTGTTTCCAAATGCAGCTTTATTATCACATTAAAACATACAAGATTGACGTACATGATCCAATTTTAAATAGAGATGCTGTTGGGAATACCCATTCCTGTTACTCCAGGCTTAGAGGTTGGCTTCAAAAGCTCATAGGGCACGACACCAGCACCTGTTCTATTCTTCGACTTCAAATCTGCATTCCTTGCATCAATAATCCCTTCCAGCTCCATCATTCTTCCACTAAAACGTTCATATGCTGCTGCTATTATTGGATCCTCAGACCACGATGGCTCCATTGTAGCCCCCATATATTCCTCATCTACTGAATGGCTTGACAACACATCCAAGATAGCCATCACCTTGGTTGCTTGAACTTTTGAAGGGAAACAACGCAAGAGAGCAAGCTCTGGTTTCTCGAGGAATTGCTTGAACTCTGCTTCTGTTGGTTCTTCAGTGGGTATGTTTGTCCTGGCGATAGATGGCCGGTTAGGGAAGTAGCCGGCAAATCCATACTGACCAAAGTTTACAGCAGCATGGTGACCAGAGGCAACCCAGATGATAGTAGTCAATATCTGGATAAGATCATCCTGAGTTTTGAGGACTGGCCACCATGGCTCATCTTTCTTGTCCTCATGGCCCTTGGTTCGCACTTCGGTCCACCATCCCTGGAGTTCTTGGTCGGATTCAATTAGGCTGGCTTCCGGGTAGTAGTGATTCACATAGTCACTCACCCATTGCTTGATGGATGACCAAACCACAAGACCATCTGCTGCATAAGGGTAGTCCTCGATTGTCAACTTTACACCATGATCGCTTGTTGGATCCTCAACTGCCATTCCTCTGTGAAAAAATTAAGAAATATACAACTAGTTAGGGAAAATGCATGGGTGAAGACAAGGCTGTTTGGCACTTGTGTATCGATCATTGTTCCTGTAAAATTTACGCACCTTCTAATGAGGTCTGCAGGCAAAGCCTCCATGTCAAATCTCCAGAGCTGGTCATAGGCCGCAGAGCTCAGCTCTATAGAATACTTGCCTGGAGAGAAGCCACTCTCAATGATACCGCCTCCATTGATGAGTGATTCACGGGCAAGAGCATTGATCTCCATTGTGTATCGAAAATGAGGTAGCAACAATCTATAGATTGGGTGCATTCCACTTAATTGTCGATTTGCTGCGATTATGTAAGGCTCCGTGCAACAATGAGTCCTCAGCCTGCAAAATCATCAAGCAAATTTCAAAAAAAATAAAAAATAAATTTATGGATCAATGTATTAATTAGGGATATGGTGATGTCATGGGCCAAAACTACGAATCCTAATCTTCCTTATTGCTAAACAGCTTCTGAAAGCATGGTTTAGATGATAAAGATAATGATGATGATAGCATCCCTAATTATCTCATCACTTCTGAGGAATCACGTCGATCTTGTATTCGAGGAAAAAAGACTTACCAGTGACTGACAAGTTGGTGATAGCCAGAATCATGGGCCAAAACATGGGCTTTAGCTAGCCTCCATAGCCAACAATTAGTGGCATCCCAACTAGGTGTGAACACTTGCTTCCACTGAGGCTTGTATTGGGTGGGTGGCCGAGTGAGCTCAATGGCTAATGGTCTTAATGTGTTTTCGTGTGTAAGCATGAACAATGTTCGAGATCCATAAAGTGTTGTTCCTTCTAGCTCTCTTACTTTGTTCACATAAGGCAGGAGCAAATCATGATAATCTAACACAAACAGTTTCTTTTGCTTTATGGCCTGCAAGCACAAATTACAGAATTTCAAGCTCAATGACGAAAAATCCACAGATTGTCATTAGAACAGCAAAATTGATTTTGTACTTGATGCTTACTTCCTAAGACTTTGCTTGTTTGCTGGGGATGCAAATTTTGCACCCAGTTCAGGTTTGCATTTGTTCGTTTTGTAGCTACATTTACATTTACCTGATGCAAAATTTACACCTTTTGTCTCATTTGCCCTCATTGGAATTTCAAATATGAAATATTTGCATTTTTCTCAAATTTGCACCTATTGGCAATGTAAATTTTGCATTCCAAAATCTAGCTAGCTTGTCTTGGGCCTCTTGGCTGCTGCTTCATCTTCTTTTATTGCACCCATTTGAATTTCAAAATTTCCCATTTTCTGGCTTGAATTTTATTTTATTTTATTTGTTTCAGGGGTGAGGATAAAGCAGGGTGCACATGAGGTCTACCAACCTTACCACAAGCTCGCATTATGGGTTTCATCCCACACCTCCATATTTGAAGAGATAAATTTTGACATATTAGTTGATTGGTCACAAGTTTTCTGCATATTATCATGTCTTTCCTGTTTCATAATCGAACCCTTAAAACATTTATAATTTACTCATATAGTGCCGGTTTATTAAACTCGACTCACAGTGGAGGTGCCCAACTGGTTGACATTTCTAATAGTCATTAGGCACAAAGAAACGATCCTTAATCAAAGTATTGGAATTATATAAACAAGGGGTTCATCTTACCTCTTCAATGGTCATTATGCCTTTGATCTCTCGCTCAACAATTTCTTTTGTGATTTTACTCTCTGGTGGGCCATAAATTTTAGGGTCGAGTTTACTCTTCAATGGCCATTCCTGCACAATTTTTGTTCACACTTTGTTATCAATGAAATAATTTAACATATAATATATACTCTAAGCATGCCTAATTACCATCGATATATAATAAATGACATTGATTTATGCTTCATACCGTGACCAACTGAATGCTTAAGGGGTTAAGACCAGCCAGAGTCTGACGTGCAAATTCCTCATCTCTGAACCAAGAAAACTTGTCTCCTGCAAATAATACGAGTAAAAAGAATTAGATAGATAGATAGATAGAGAGAGAGAGAGAGAGAGGTCTTACTAAGTATCATTTCAGGGACCTCAAATTGGAGAAGTTCGTCTCCTCCATCTTCTATAGCCTTGACCAGCCTTGGTAGAAGCAGACTGAAAATTCCTTTATTAGGGGTTTTAATGTTAAACCCTTCATTGAAGAGAGAGTCTATTTCTGTGAAGTATGGAAAGCCAAGGCTGGTATCAATGAGCGACATCTCAATCTGAGGAAGCAGAGCATGTAGCACTGATTTTAAAGTCTTTGCCGAGAAGCTTAACTGCTTCACTTCCGAGAACGTTTCATCCCTTGGCACATAAACAGTACTGCTACGTTGCTCTGAATTTGGGTCTGCATCATTTGTTACATGTTAGACTGAATTTTGATGTACGTAGTATGCTGATGACAAATCTTGAGAAAATATAAACAGCAAATCTCAAGCTTAGTCTTCTTTTATCTATCAGCTAGTTGGTGTGGGAGGAATGGTCCAATCCGGTCCGACTTACATTTTATGTCCTACTGACCTTATTTATTCACCCAATTGATACTGCTGGATCAAAGAAACTAAGAACAAAATCAGAATGATCAAAATCTGTACAAGAAAACAATTTTATTTTATTTTCTGGCTGCAGATCATTTACAGCCTGGCCTAGCACAGAAATTTTCGAGCTTCAGCCTGAGCCCAGCCTCCACATATTTATATAAATATGTACTTTTTGTTATATTTTATATTATATATAAACATATTATACATGTAGACAACGCTCCTGAAATAGAGACTTTTAAACTGCACTCCACCTCAGAATTCAGATTTGAATTATAGACCTACAATAATTCAAATTTATAAACAGCTCCACCTATAACATCCATGAATTGGCATCAATTTCGAGCTGGCACTTACCCTGAACTGTACGGATTTCTGGGGAGGACTGAACGGTAAAAACCCCTTTATAATATATGATATTTTCATATTTAATGATATAGACGAAAAAATCGAGCCTGGCTGGGGCCATTGCCATAGCCCTTATCAAAAGTGTTAAGCCCAGCCCGGCCTCATAATAATCCCTATAATTGCCATCTTGTATTACTGGTATTGACAAAGCTCAATGGTTTTAAAATCAGAACAAGACATTAAAGATTATGTTTAGTTTAAAGGAAAAAGTAGGGAAAGAAAGGAAAAGGTAGGAAAACCTTTACAAACCTTGTATGAGTTTTCCCATCTTTCCTTTCAATTCCTACTTTTTCCTTCAAACCAAAGACAGCCTAACAGTTAATAAGCTTAAATGCCCAGAAATAACAAGAATGGTTGTTTACAAATAATCATACTCCATGGTTCCGAGATATACCTTTCTTGCAACGCTCACGCCCTGTTCTGCAACGCCTAGGGTATGGGTGCTTCTTACCACCCAGAACTGGTCGAGCCAGATCATCGCTCTTGTCGGGATCTCCGAGATCGTTATATTTGTCATAGTCATAGATCCTCTCAAAAGTCTTGCGTTCCCCTGTTCCATCGCCTCGTAAGATCTGCAGCTCCTTCTCCCTCAGCCTCTTCAGACCATCAGGCGTCCGGGATGGCAAGTAGGACTGCGCCATCCATACAGGGGACCATTAGTGTTGAATGATGGTGATTACTGAAAGCTACATTGCAATAATATATGGATTCGACTATGATATGAAAAAGATATAATAATATCTGAAAATTTTTTAACCAATGAACTGGAATCATAAACCTGGTAGCCAATCGGATGTTATTTATCAAAATTTAGGAGTGAATTTTGATTAGGGGTGCAACTTGGGCTCCCGAGCTCGAACTGGCCCAACTCGAAATTTTACACGAGTTGAGTTTAAATTTTCGGCCCTCAAACTAAACTGGAGCCTAAGAAGTTGAATTTTTTTTTTTGGGCCAGGCTCGGGCCTAGCCCTTAGGTAGCTCAAACCCGGCCTAAGCCCGGCCCAAACACAGGGGACCATTAATGTTGAGTGATGGGGATTGGGGACCATACTTATAGGTATGTATTTATATATAGTTCCAAGGTCTCTACAGTATGAACCCCATGGATTGGATTAAATTAATAATATTAAGGTCAGCATATTTTTTTATTTCATTAAATATCAAATTATCCATCAATACAAAAATTAATTGGAAAAATTAAAGAAAACCGTCCTTGTGTTTTGATCGTAAAAGAACTCTCCTAATAGTAATAGTGTTGAAAGAAAGGTGGAAATACCTATCTTTTGTTAGAGAGAGAGAGAACTATTTTACTTTCACATTAAGGTGAAATAGAGAGAGAGAGAGACCTTGTTAGTGAAGAAGATCCTTTTCTGTGGGTTGTCAAACTTGCTGTGAACCCAAGACTCGCAGTTAACGTTAACAGGGCCAGTAGAAAAGCCATCAAGAACAATGTTTTTGAGGAACATCTCTTTGTGGTGTTCGTTCTCCACGAAAACTGCGCCTACTTCCCCAAAACTCGCCGGAACCTTGAAGTTGGCCTCGTACTTGAACCCCTCATCATTTTTGCTTACTGTATGTGCATACCCCTTGATCGTCTCCTTCTCCGTCCCCGTCTCTTCATCAATACACACACATGTAGATCAGTATATATATACTTTAATATTTTATGGGATTAATTCGTATATACATTATATATGTTGCTGGGCAGCTCATTACTTACGTGGATCAAGCTCTGAGCTAACGAGCTCCAAAAGGAGAGTTTTACCAAGCAAATCTGTTATATCATCGAGCCCTCGCTCCAGGCCGAGGTTCGACAGCACTCCACCCACGGTTGGCTGCACCGTAACGACGGCCTTAACCGTGATGTTCTTACTAGTTTTAGTAGAAGCATCGGTGGTCGAGGTGGAAATTGCCCTTATCTTACTAGAGAGGGATCTAGCACGAGCACCAGAGCTCTTGTGCTGTTTATGGAGAGAAGGCCCTCGTCCTACTTGCAGTGAAGCGCTTCCATGGCTGGAGAAGAAGGACTTCTGCAACAAAAACAGGGGCCGATTGGTCGACTCCAACTGATGCACCTGAGTCTTCAACATCTTTGCTTATTGCTGCAGAATGTTGAAGAAGATAATGGGTTGTGGCTGAATGCCTAAATCCGGTGGGGTGGTTACCAGCTTGGTGCTGGTGGTGGTGGTGGTTGTGGAGTGAAGATTTCAGTGGTTTATATGGAAGGATTTGGGGATTGCACGTGAAAAATATTTGAAAATCGATAGGAGTTTTTTCGTTTTTTTTTTTTTCGCTCCAGAAAATCGAAAGGAGTTCAGCATGATAATTTTCTTCTTTAGAAATGTATAATATCTCCATCCACATCGAGTATACGCGTCTTATGCTCCCATCTCATCTTATAAAAATTCTCTTTACCCATGGAATTAATATTTTGTCTTTTTCATAATACACTGACGTGTTCAATAATCACTGGGGAGTCCTGAATTGTTCTGCGAGCATCGTCGTAGGCAATGTTATCTCTTATGAATTCACATCTGCGCTCCACACTGCGCGCCTCAACAACGTCCCACAGCCAATCTCAGCTGTGTATTGGCCCAATACACACTGAGATGTGCTCTGGGGCGTTTGTGAGCACGCTGAGTAGGGCGCAGATGTGAACTCTAAACTCTCTCGGAAGAATGATGCTATCAGAATAGAATACGTCGATAGATGAAAATAAACAAAAACCCGGGAGAACGGCAATCAAATTTGATTCAACGTACAACAGATGACAAAACTCAGCTACCACCAAACAATTATTTCGGTAATAAATACAAAATTTAAAAAATCAAGTAATTGCCTTGCCCATGAAAAATATAGACCCAGATTCATGGCTACACTGTCCATTTTCCCTATAATATAATCAAGGGTGTCATTGGATCCCTTCCAAACCAAAATCAATTCAGACAGATTGGAGAGAGCAACAAAGGCACATTAAATTGAACCAGTTCGAATTAATTGTCCAAATTGTTTATTGGATTAGATTGGACGTAGTTCATCTATAATGAATTTATATTGGATTGGGTTGGACTAAGCCAATATTGAGTCCATTGATAGAAGATAAGAATATATGTGTCAATGGATCAGGTTTGGGTTATAACGAATCTAAATTAAAACAAATTTGAACAGATTCAATGCTCCAGATATTGAATTAGACTGATCCAAAATATCATTGTATTGGATTTGACATAGTCCATTTGTAATGGACTCACATTGGACTAAATCAGGTTGGACCAAATCCAGTCTAATTGACACTCCTATGTACAATTACCTTCCATCTCACTGATACTCTAATAGTGTCAAAGCCCTCTAGCCTTTTCAATCCAAGGATCAAAATATTGTTATGTTCAATGCTCAAAGATGAATATTAATGCGTATTGGCCAATATTCTATATATTATTTTTTTATTTTATTTTATAATGATTAGAAGATGTCTTCTATCACCCCCAAGGTTGTAAAAGTTCATCCCCAAGCTTGTGTAGTTTACTCTACCAAAAAAAAAGGTTGTAAAAGTTTTAAAATATGATTGTATCAGTCTATCCATGCATGCATATATATCAGGGTGTACTGATCGGATCAATATTTGATCCTTGGTTCAACCTGCCCGGTCCACTCTCTCTACATCCTCTCTGACTATCGAGGGATGGTCAAACGACCATTCTTCATTCTAGGGGTTCATTTCAATTAATTAGTAAATATTAAATGATATTTAATATTTGATCCGATGATTAAATGGATTTGTCAAGCTGACATGAATGAATCAAATTAAATCCCAAACATCTGCAGCTAGCCCTACTAATTAATGAAGCTTAATCTCTATTTAGATTGCAGTATGAGAGACCTGAACCTTGGTTGCAAGCTTAAATTATGCTCTATTTGATCTATTTAGTAGGACCCATGTTATGACATGGTTCTGATGCACTAACGATGGAATTATGGATGAGGTGCCCTCAAACCTCCATTTTATATTCCTAAAAAGAGAAGATAAAAGGAAAGAAAAACATTCAGACTACAATACAAAACCCCAATGAAAGTGGGATCCAATCTCAAGTCTCTGCTACAACCAACTAGTTGACACCTTCCCCAAGCCTAGTGGGTGGTAGATTTAAACTCCTTTTCCCAAGTCAAAATATATGTTGAATCTTTAGATTTAAAAAAAAAAAGAAATTTTAAAAATAAAAAAAATTACCTTCCCATATTAGGATGGTGGGGTAGAATCCAAATTGATTGGAAACAAAATCATGAACAACGGATTAGGCAATCTATTGCAAGTAGTGAAAACCTTAGGCTGCATTTGGAAATGACACAAATAAGTGTGAATGCAAATATGTAGAGTGTAAAACAGTTCATATAAATAGTAAAGTTGGGTTAGTTTTGCACTGACTAATTTACCTTCTAATTACCAAACAGACTTTTAGATCTAATGGATGCAAATACGAATTCCAATAAAGTATAGGCCTTTTTTATCTAAAGCCCACTTGAATGCAAATTTACTTCTTTTTTATTGATGTATTTTTACATCTCATTATCCATGAATAAATGTATTTTCTGTTATTTGTTAATGCAAAAATGTAATGTTGCCAAACACAAACAAAAGTGAACCAGAATACGAATTTACCCTGAACCGTGATTTACATTCCATTTGTATTATTTCCAAATGCAGCCTTAGTGTTCCATATGCATGGGGTGCCATGTAAACCCCTGTGTTTTAGTGTTTCCAGTCCTGATAAATTGCCCAGCTTGCTATCCATGATTTTGTCTAGCAAGGGAAATCTTCATATACCCCAATCTCACAAATTTTTAATTTACCATACAATTGGAATTGTAAAAATAGAAAAGGGGGCATCCTGTGGTAACTGGTAAGTGAGGGTGTCAAAAGTTTTAAATTGTTGTGAGTGTATAATGAAATAAAAAATTTGTAAAGTTTTAATGAGATTTTCTGCTTTTATCTACATGCCATTCCGTTGTGACGGGAGTCTAGATTGATCCAAAACAATAATTTATAGCAGAATGGGCACTCTATCAAGAATGAATACACATAAAATATTGGGTCCAATGTGAGACAGTTCACAAATAGCTGAAATAGTCTCATTCCATTGGAATCTATTTGTGTTTTAGATTTCATTGGATGGTGGCCTGTGTTTTTTTTCCCTCTTTTGATAACCGGAAATTCATTCACCAGTGTTTCAGAAATGTTGAAAAGGACTGCGCTTACAATTTTTTTCTTATTGTCTTATTTCAGCCAACTTCAACGTGAGAATACAAAGATTGTCATTCAAAACTCACTCTTAACTGTGTTTGGTTGCGGTACAATCCTATTTGCATTACTACAAATGCATAAGAGTGTAAATGAAAAGAATGCAAATTCTGGTTAATTTCTGTTTGGTTTTACTTCATTCTGTTTTAAGTCTTATTTTGTTTTATAGGTACTGCAATCAAATAAAATAAGGTAAAATTTGAAACAAAAATAAATCAGAATTTTTACATCCAAATCATTTTCACTCTCATAGTTTTCTATCAGTACAAATTTATTAGCATTGTAACCAAACACAGCCTAAGTCTTATCAGAGAGCGACCCAGAGACTAGGGATGACAATTCCGAATGGGGTGGGTATGGGGAGACTACTCCCTGCCCCGCGGGAACCCCAATCCCCATCCCATGGGTTCCCCACTAATATATATGTATACATGTATGTATGCGTTATATATGTATATATGTACACATATATCTATATATTAATACTTTTAAAAATATGGTTGAATATGTTTGAATCTTTTCTAATAAGATTGTAAATTTTAATTATTTTATTTTTATTTTTTTAAATAAAATAAAAAACAAAAACAAAATGATTAATATTATAAAAAATCATAAGAAATGGGGATATCTCCGTGAAGACAAGAATGGGGATAACCTTATCTTAGTTAGCAGGGACAGGAATGAAGACAAGGATTTTTACGGAAACAGGAATGGGGAGAGGCTTTCCGTCCCCACCCCGCGGCGTTGCCATTCCTGTCGGAGACTCTGAAAGTGAAAGTGGGGTAATAATGGACTTCAACAAATAACTTTGACACCGGGCCCAGATCAAAATATCATCCATAATGGAAGGAAGTTGGAGTTGTACTACCATTAGCAAGAGCTGAGGGTTACATCTGTCTTATGGATAGATAGAGTAGGCCCATGCTGCTTTAGGTCTTTGTTCTTTCCCTTTCTATCAAAAAAAGAAAGAGTTGAGGCATCTCTAGCCTGGAGATCTTCAATCCAGGAATTAGCTCCCCCGTTTTTCTCAAAAATCTATTCGTTTTAGACAAGGTTTTTCTAATTTTGATCAAAAGTAAACAAATTGAAAATTATGAATCATAATTGTGTGGTAATTAAGAAAATTGTGAATTCATAATTGTGCTGTAAAACATCAAACAATTAAGAACATTTTTCTCCTTCATTTCTTTCTTAAATGATAAGTAGAAACTAATTGAAAGAACTCTTTAACATTATAAGCTGTTTGAAAACACTTAGTTGTTTTAAATTTTTTTTCTAGGAAAATAGCTCAGACCAAATTACAAGTTAGTAGGCAGATGTAAGGTGATAATAGTTTAGATAAATGTACTTACAGATAAAATTTAAAATTTTTATGTATTAAACAAATAATTCGCACCAAACAGAATAGAATGACAAAAGAGAATTATGTAACTTATTCTATATAATTGGAATAAGGTTTAGATGATGATGAAATATCAAATAAATAATTCCCTGGTTCTAAACACTGAGTAATCCTCTAGTTCTAATTGAAAACTTTCATTTATCATCAGTTTATTGGTCAATAGTGTGCCTGTTGTGGTTCCAATACACGTTATAATCAGTCAGAAAAAAATTCAGAAATCCAATGAAACGTATCAAAAACAAAATTGAATGACTTATTGTTTTACCTTGGTGAAATGACATTCTCTCATTTACCTCCCCCTTTTTTGAGAATGAAATCCCATTCCAACTGATTTCTATTCTCATTTTAATTCCTATTTGAATCAAGGTTTTCCAAACTTTAATAATTGTAGCCTCAGAAATACGGTCTTAGTAGAACTGCAAGCAGAGATTAGATCAGATAGTGTATAAATACATTCAAGTTTGATTTGTTTATATATTCAAATTGAATCAAATCATATCCCTCAAATTTACTAATACACGTAATATAAATATGTAATCATATATGTATTTAAATCTAATCAAATTGGA